ACATCATCTTTTGCTGATGCCAGCTGAGAATTATGGAAATTGAACTCCAACACAACCAGAAAGTATCCTGTTTGGAAAAACTGTTTGAAAGGCTTCCGTTGCCATCTCACACTTGCTTACTAATCTCCGAGGTCAGTGGGAATAAGTCCCAGGTAACTTGTTTCCCCATTTGATTCATTTGTATTGAATTGCAACTGATATGGCATCTAAACCCAATTTTCCAGCCAAGTTTTAAGTCCATTACATTAGCTCTTGGATGAGAAGCAGAACGTGTTCAAGGAAAAACAAAGGAAGTCCAGTTACCTCTTGAAAAAGAACCTTTGGGACATTACAACAGGGATTTTAAAACTTTTACAGGCTATGGGATCAGTTAGTTAAGAAAAAGGAATCCCAAAATCCTTGATTAAAAAGCTCTAATGTTAGAAAATTGGGAATAAAATTAAAGTTTGTTCACTATAAATTATTTATGCAAATTTAGGAATTTCACAAACTTGGATGTACCAGTAATTACTGTCCCACAAAGTCTGTCCATTATTCTAAGTCAATGTTTCTCAACCTTGGCAATTTTAAGATGAGTTACTTAAGCACGCTCGCTGGAGAATTATGGAAGTTAAAGGCCACACATCTTAAAGTTGCCATGGTTGAGAAACACTGTTATTTTAAATGGAAAATTAAAGGCTTCAGCATACAAAAATTAAAACTAGAATTACACAATTCTGGTTACACAATAGGAGGCTGATGTTTCAACCAAGCAAATCAAAGTTTCAGTAATTGGGATAGGATTGCTATTCTTGACGGAAAATGTATGGATGTCCCTGGTTGTGTTTGAGCATTTGGTTTATCTTTAAATTCTCCCAGAACCTCATCAAGTTCTTGAAGAACCTTAAGGCTCAATGGAAAAGTTTCCAAACCCACTTGGGCATTCTGTGAGCAGGGCTTGAACATTATTTTCAAGGGGGTAGGGGGTGGGCAGATACAACCCTGCACCTTCAGCTTCCTTTCGTATAATATAAATTTAACCCTCACACGCATATTGCTTTGAGATTTGTATTTCTAGACAGGTATGCAGTTTATTTCCTATGCATATAGAATTTATATTTGGTGCAGTGGCCTAGAGGTGGAGCTCTCGCCTCACAATCAGGAGGCTGTGAGTGTGATCCTAGGTAGCAGCAGATATTTCTTTCTCCGGGCACGTTGAGAATATATCTGCTGAATATAACTCCACATTGGTGACAGGAAGGGCATCCGGCCAGTAAACACTCAGCTCCATTCAGTTACCCAGACTCCACCCCGCAAGGGATTATGGGGTCGTTAGAAGAAGATGATAGAATGTATATTGGGGAGCTGCCTGTCCTACCAATCATTCTTGGGTTTTTTTTATCTCTGCATTGGGATCAGTTGTTTCCCTCAAAAGGATGGGATGGCAACATGGAAGCTATGGCCTCTCTTTCTGATCTTTAGGCCGCCTAAATCCTCCCCCTCCTTTATCCCCAATGTTGATTTCTGTGACAAAGTATAAGTTCGGATGCTTTCAAGGAGAAACAATGCCCACAGATTGTGTACAGGTAGTCCTCGACTTATAATCGCAATTGAGCTCAAATTTCTGTTGCTAAGCGAGACAGTTCTAAAAAATGAATTTTGCCCCATTTTACGACTTTTCTTACCTCAGTTGTTAAGTGAATTACTGCACTCGTTCAGTGAATCTGGCTTCTGCATTGACTTTGCTTGTCAGAAGGTCACAAAAGGTGATCCTGGGACACTGCAATTGTCATAAATTTGAGTCACTTGCCACGCGTCTGAATTTTGATCATGTGACCATGGGGGTGCTATGATGGTTGTAAGTGTGTATTACGGTCGTAAGTCACTTTTTTCAATGCCAAACCGTCACTAAAAGTCACTAAATAAACTGTGGTAAGTCGAGGATTACCTGTACTATATTTGCACATTCTATAAAAAACATTTTTTCTATATTTCTTCCAAACAGTATATTTTATTCTTCTTTATTTAAAAAATAAAATAAAAAAAGAAGTACCTAACCAGGAAGTCCAGCAAAGCAACTACTGTAGTCAAGGGCAAGCATCCGTTTGTCTCCCTAACTCTAGTCCTGCCTGGTTGAGTGACCTGATGCATTAATTATCAAAAAGATGCTCTCATTCCTATTTTGAAGACACAATATTTGGCAGAACAACGCAAATGTCTTTATAGTCCCCCCACTGTGGTGTGGATGCCAATTTGTGACATTTATCAAACTCTGACACATTTGGCTACCGTTGGGTTGGAAAGCTGAGCAATTGTAGAAACATAACGCCATGGTAACAGTTGTCATAAATATAGAATTAATAGTTCCCTAGAGCTCTAATCCTGTACCTTTTTTCACAAGGGATTCAATGGGGCTTACTTTTGAGTTAACATGAGCATTGCTGGACCATGAAAAAGAATGGAAAGAGGAGACGTCGGCAGTAAGGTCAATATGCCTTCTCAGTCTTACAAGAGGGAAGAATTCGTTTTAGCCCAACCAAGCAAAGCATTTGACTAGACCTCTGCAAAAATACTGAGTAATTTTTGGCCTTTCATTCAGATCCCATTCCTTCAGGATGGTTGCACAATGGATGGAGTCGCCTGGAATTGCTCTTTGGCCTCTTTGAGTTCTATCAAGCATCTATTCAGATAAGCAATTAAAGGCTGGAAACTCAAATCTCATAAGCAACCACTTTCAGCCTACACATTTCAGTAAATTCCTTGAGTTTGGTGACACTTATGAGTTAACTGGCTTGGGAATGCACTATTAGAAATCTGTAAACCATTATGTTGTAGCTAAATTGAATGCAAAGAATCTGAGCAGGAGTAAAGGCTCCTTAAAAAAATAGTTTTCCCTCAATGATAAATAGGGAAGCAAAGGAATGCTGGTGCCAAAGTTGACTCTGTTTAAATTAGAAATTTGTCACATTTAATTAATTATGTTCTGGAAGCTGTTCTTGTTTGTTTGGTATGAAATCTGAGGAAAGATAATTGGTTTTGGTTTTTCAACTAGCATTAAATCTGTGGTTAAAGAGAACTGCAACATTTTGGTCTACACAGGGAATAAGGACTGCTCCAGTCTGTAGTAACCTTCATTACTGGTATTGCATTAGATGGTCTCATATTTTAAAGGAATTATAATGGCAACTTGAATATTTTCCTTACATATTCACACTACATCTTGTATTTGTGTTGTCACATGGTAGCGTGCTGCAAACAGGCTTAGCTAATAGATAAATCTCCTAAATGCTTTGTCCACTGATCATTTAAGTTTAAAATAACACTTTGATTTTTAACTGTTTTTATTCCATTATAGTTTTACTACTAGGGTAATATTAAATGGGAAATTATATTTGACTGCCTTTAGTTAGCAGGTTCAATTGTCTCAAAATTCAGTATTTCGAAAGACAACCCATTGTAATAACAAAGGATTTTGTAAGTTGCAAATTACAGGTGGCTTCTTGGATAGCCCAGTTTCAATATTTATCAGTCTGTTTATAAGGTACCCTCATTGTAACTTTTAAGGCATATGTAACTTGGATTAAATTAACTTGAAACACTTTTTCATCTCATGAATTTATCTAGATGGTCCTCTGCTGTGCGGGGGCAGGGCACATGCACATGCAGGGCAAGCACGCAGGCGCGGGGAGCGTGTGCATTTTGGGTATGCGCGCGCGCTTTTGGCACTTGATGCCAAAAAGATTCGCCATCACTGTTCTAGCCTCTTTTCTCACTGTGGGATGAGAGGCCAAAGTCATATGGCAATAGCATAGGGGTTGCCACAACTCCACCCACTTGATCCCACACTACCAGGATCTCCCCTTCACTCATCTGGAAACTCCCATGATGCATGCGAGCTGATGTTCACCTGAGTGGCCAGTCTCATCCGCATACACCCATCCACCACTTCCTGCTAACTCCTAACAGCAAAACAGGGAGAATGCTATTGCTTCTGTACGCATGCCCAAAGAGCATCCTTACGCAATAAGGAAAAACAGGTTAACAAATAATATAGATGGCTTGTTTGTAACTTTTTTATTTCTTTCTGGAGGGAAGCAGGGATGATTGAACAAGGGGAGTTTCGACTGTGGGTTGCCAGAAAGCTTGCCTTATAGAACATAGTAATAGCAATAGACTTATATATCGCTTTATAATGCTTTACAGCCCTTTCTAAGTGGTTTACAGAGTCAGCCTATTGCCCCCAACAATCTGGGTCCTCATTTTACCCACCTTGGAAGGATGGAAGGCTGAGTTAACCTTGAGCCGCTCAGAATTGAACTCTTGGAGTGAGCTAGCCTGAATAAATACTTTCATCGACATGGGACATGCATTTATAATTTATGGAATCCAAATTCATTAAAAAGCATTATCTATGGTTATTGAATTTAGAGTAGCTGTGTGTTTCATTTCATGCGTTACAGGTAGACCTCGACTTAGTAACTGTTCAAAGTTACAATGGCACTGAAAAAAGTGGTTATGACCCTTTTTCACACCTATGACTATTTCAGCATCCCCATGGTCATGTGATTTATTCTGCTGCTTGACAACTAACTCACATTTATGATGGGTGCAGTGTCTCTTTTGCAACCTTCTGACAAGCAAAGTCCATGGGGAAGCCAGATTCACTGAACAACCATGTTACTAACTTAACAACTGTAGGGATCCATTTTACTGCTGTGGCAAGAAATGTTTGTAAAATGGAACAAAATTCCCTAAAGCTGTTTCATTCAGCAAAATAAATTTTGGACTCAGTTGTGGACATAAGTCGAGGACTGCTTGTATCTGGAATATCAATGCATCAATATTAAAAAAGAGATTCTCAAAAATGGGGAGGGGAACTACTTTTGTCCTAGAAAAATAATTCCTAGTAGTGTCGGATGGAGTTTCACCACATTGGTTTATTAATTTTCTCTTTTCTCTGGACAAATGTGAAACAGCAAAAATAATCTACAATAACCAATATTTTTCCTTTTATTTTAAAGTAATTTAACCAGATCTGCTGCATTCATAATCTCTTCAGTGATGAAATATTGCTGGGAAGTATGGATAAAAATATTGCAGAGCAGCTTAATAAGACATACGAAGTGTTTCGACAGGCGTGTATGGAGAGAGATTTTGCTAGAAAAGAACTGAAGCAAAAGGTACGTTATGTTTTTAGTATCTAACCCTACAAGTTAAGATTTCCTTTACAGTTGTTTCTAAAAAAAGGGGGGGGGAACGACGACTCAGATTTCCCACATAACAGAAATATTGTGTAGTTCAATAATGCTATGTTAATTATCTGCCAAAATCTTGCAATCCGGGGTATGAAGCTGTGCCATGATAAATATATTGTTTGTCTGTTTATGAAATTGAATTTCGTATCCATCAAGGATAGTTTGCCTTTCTCTTTTAACTCTTGGGCAGTTTTAACAGGTACCACCAGTTGCCTCTAGGACTGCTTTTGTCAAAGGATGCTGTGCTTGCAAGGAGGGAGATAGTCAGGAGGTTGATAGTAGGGAAGGAAGTCTCCCACATTTGCATGAGGAAACAGCATGTGAAATGTTGCCCCCCCCCTCCCAGTGCTTTGTATTACAGAAGATAAAGATGAAATGAACTATAAAGTAGCTTTCAATTTTAAAATATAGTCTAGTGTGCTGTTTCTCAACCAATTTCAATCCATGACACAATATTGAATATAGAACAGTACTTCTGTGGCACACCACAAAATTATTAATCATATATATGTATTTTTAAATATGTAACACATAGTTTGAAGGAACTTTCAGAAAATATTGCATTAAATATACGGATTAGACAGGCAGACAGACAAAACCTGTATGCTGCAGCACACTTATCTGAGAATTACTTGGTCTAGAGACATTATAGGGAGATGAGTTCTTAAGAGGGATAAGAGGAATATACTATAGCTCAGTATAGGAATTGTCATGCCCTTGTTGGACTCTGATTCTGAGGGGGAGATTGAAGAGCTGCCAGGGAGTGGGAGTGGGAATGTGGCTCCGGTGGCTGTGAAAGAAACGGGGGGAAAGGCACAGTTCGGCTGGGCATCCAGAGGAAGATCCAGGGCAATCCCCTCTTCATCCAAGGGCATGCAGGGAGGAACGGAGAAGGGAGCAAAGTGGCTTACAAGAAGGCCCTGATCCAGAGGTGGTATTCAGCAGGTTTTGACCAGTTCTGCAGAACTGGTAGCAGAAATTTTGAGTAGTTTGGAGAACCAGCAAATACCACCTCTGACTGGAGATTTCACACTATTCTTCCCCTGCCACGCTCACCAAACCACGCCCACAGAATCCGTAGTAAAAAAAATTTGAATCCCACCACTGCCCTGATCCCTTTCATTAGTTGCAGCTGGGAGAACAGGATATAAGTGGGGCATTTGCACACGGCTCCTTGCTGGAAGCAAAGCGTGCATTGGTCAAGCCTTATCTGGGTTTTGGCGTCCTCCAGTTTATTATCCTGCCGTGTTAATTACTTCAGTGTGATTTGTGTTTGTTTTTTAAAATTTCTAATTATTTTTACTTTGGGTTTGGACTGCATTTCTGCCCTTTGTAGACTGTTTTTTGAAGAGTTTGTTACTCAGCCTAAGATAATTGGACATTGGGGCCAAGTTGGAGGCATTAAAGGGAATGTATTCTACTTTTGTGACTTAGTTATTTTTGTGTCACGCACTGGGTCATCACAAGAATATACTATAGTTCTGCATGTAGAAGGCTTCTTATTCAATCATTGGCATCTTTATGTAAAAACCATCAAACAAAATCCAATAATAAGTCCTAGGAAAGCTGAAGTAGGATCATAAACACAGACATAAATTCACTTAGTGATCACTTCACTTAACGGCTGAGTTGTCAATCACAATTGTAAACAAGGATTACTTGTATTGTCCTTTACTGGGTTGGCTATAGATCAATCTAATCTACAGTTCTGCAGATATGCAGGAAGCCTTTGTGTTGTTGCCCACACCCTTCTGGATTTTCACTTTTCATTCAAAACACCATTGATTTGGGAGGGTTTGTCTTCCTTCTATTTGAGGAGATATAAGAAGTGTTCAAGCAATGGTCTACCCACTGCTTATCGATGTCATTTGATAACTTTTAAATTTATTGCTGCTGTTTTGGTTATTTGTAAATGTTTACCAGAGAAAGTCTTTGCCTAGATAAGTTTGTTTACTGAACAGTCAAGTGGTTCTTTTTCTTAGTCTGAATGAAGGGCCTCTAAATGGTACAATAAACAATTTAGCAGACTTCAGTTTAGTGATCCCACCGGTGCAGGCTCTGTCCCTAAATGCTTCTGTGATATCCTGATTACCATTTAATACATTAACAAAATTAATAGATTATGGGTGTCAAATGCCATTTGGATTCTTCCTTTCCTTAATTTGGTTCATTGGTTTGAAGTTTTCCCAAGGGCAAATCCCCAAGGGCAAAGTATAAGGCAGTTGCTTAAAGTTTGTCAACTTAGGAGTGTCTCCTATTTAACTTGGTGCAACTTAAAGAAGAGGCTTTTGTTCCGGTGACCCTCCTTCTTTTTTACTCTATGGTCTCAGGGACTGGTTGGAGCACCTGTCAGTTTATAGGTGGTGGTGGGTTCTGGTTGGCCACTTGTTTTGCTAGACTCTGCAGATCAAAGCTGTGTCAAATGCATAGAAGCCGGAGTCATCATGGCCAGATGGTACTCAATACAGATGGATATTTGGTTGTCAAGTATATCTTGTAGTTACTAACTTGTTGCTGCCATCTGACTCTAAAAGAATCACTTGTGCACGCTGGCTGTCAAAAGCATCTTTTCTTCTGTCTGTTTTAGCTGTCATGAGTGTGCTCTGTACAGAAGTGTTGACAAGACATTGCTGTTGTACATTTTCAATTTGGGTCTTAATGACTTTTTCTCTTCCTTCTGCTTCCTGAGGTCATCCAGGCTGCTCAAGTATATTGACCTCTTTGCCTTTTAATGGGCTTATGATGCAGCTATTGCTATCTGCTGAGCTCTTGTTATGTTTTGAGATAGTTGCACCCTTTCCGTTGCCTGCTCAAGGCTATGGTTTTCAGGAGTGGAAGAATGAAAAAAAAAGAAATTGTGGCACCACTATTGTTCAACCAAATAACTCATCTGTCAGTGCCAGAAAGCTGATTGTTTTCTTGTCCATAATTGTCTTGTCAAAAGTGGGGGGAAATCCAGAACTTCTTTTAAAATGGCAGTATAATACAGGATACTAGATAAATTTGAGTACAGCCATGAATATGATATTGATACTTTTGACAAGTCACTGTTTTGCAGCCACACCTGCCTATATCAGATTATTGTGAAGTAAATGGGGGTGGTGTGTGTTAAACAAAGCCTTATATTCCACCCTGGTTCTTCAGAAGAACAATCAAATGAGAATATAATAAATAAACAGAAGGGAAACAAGATACAAAGGCATTTCTAGCTCCTTAAGTATAAAATCAAGCTATGGTGTTTAGAGTTTGAGGCAGTAAATCTAAGCGCTAATGCCATGGCATAGCCATTCTTTATGCCTGCTGAGGTAAAACCTATTCATCAGCATAAAATGATTGCTTTCAATTACACTATCATTACAGACAGACAGCTATGAGAAGCAGCTACATGAACAGCAGGAAAAAAACCAACTTCTAATGAACATTGTTGAACAACTCAAATCACAGTTGGCTTCTATGACTGCCAACAGAGGTAGGTAGTTTTCAAACCTGCTTTTTACCAACTTATCTCCCTGTTTGTGTCTCTTGCCATCCTCGTGTATCTGTGTATTTGTGTGTCTGTCTTATGTGTATGATGTCATAGGATTCTAGTTCTTTTCACGTGATCCTCTTAGTACTGGAAATACCTACATTAAAAACTTTTTAAAAAGAAAACAGGTGGTCTTTTAAAAGCTGATTTGCCTCCATTCAGAATTGTGTTAAACAATTTCTCGTCACCATTTTATAGCATAAAAGGTTGATTTATGAATATTGAACAAGAAATTGGGATGAGTAAAACACAAGGAGTGATTTTAACTGGGTTAAATCAGGGTCAAGCTATTTTCTAAAGCGCCTGTAAGCCAGACAAGGAATAATGGATGGAAACTGAACAAGGAGAGATTTAACCTGGAAATAAGGAGAAACTTTCTGACAGTGAGAATATTCAACCAATGGAACAGCTTGCCCTGGGAAGTTGTGGGAGCGCCATCACTTGAGACTTTCAAGAAGAGATTGGACTGCCATGTGTCAGAAATGGCATAGGGTCTCCCAGTTGGATGGGGGGTTGAACTAGATGACCTACAAGTTCCCTTCCAACTCTGATTATTTGTTATTTGTTATCTGTTATCTGTATGCCAAAGGGCAAAACTTTTTCAACCAAGATACTTCAAATATCATTTACAAAATATGTCTAAATTCCAGGACCCATAACTCCCATGGAATTCAAATTTGGCAAATTTTATAAAACATGACATAAACATCTGGGACAACCATGACTGAGAATCTCTATAGACATGATGTGGGAATATGAATGAATCTCCATAAGAATTGCAGACTACAGGAACCATTTGTGCCTTAGTTTGAGATGCAAACAACACAGACACATCCCCAATAGCCTGCACCTGCATTCAACAGTGAAGGGACACAGAGCAGAAAACATCGCAGAAAGCACAACTCCACAACCCAGCAGTTTCAAGAAGGCACCACACCCATTTTCACTATTCAGGTTTCCCTAGGACACGGAAAAAACTCCAAAGTGGCCTCAAGGACTGTCTAAAATAATGCAAATGACCAGCTGTCTGAAAGGAATATAAATCCTTCCATTCCCCACCAGGGGTGGGATTCTACTGGTTCTGTCCGGCTCTGTAGAACCGGTAGCTCTGAAGAGCAGCAGACATAGAACTAGTTCTGTGTCTGCTGCTGTTTTGGCCCACCTGCCCGTCCGGGCTTACCTGACCATTATTTCCTGCTTTTCAACCTTGTGCAGCACAGCTACAGTTGAAAAAGCAGGAAAAATTTGCTTTTTCAAATGCTGCGCACCCATGCGCAGTGCTGCTCAGCTGTCCAGGCAGCAAGCTGACAATGTTTCACACGCGCAGTGCAAAACAAAAATCACCGAACCAGTAGTTACACCGGTCGGATCCCACCCCTGTTCCTCACCATCCAGTCAGCAAGCTGAAGAAGCTTCTTAGAAGAGAAGCAAAATGTTTTCAAAGAAAAACAAGAAAGTTCAGTTGCCTCTTGAAAAAGCAGCACCTTTGGCATTTCCTATGTGTTGTTTGATTGTGCTATATACAGTTCAGTGCAAGCTATATTCAAGCAGATACATCTCTGAGGCATTGAGGAATCTGGTAAGGAAATAATATCTGAAAGGACGAGCCAAGGAGTCATGGGTTAGCTAGTGAAATCCTAAAAGTGGAGGAAGTGAAGGAAAACTGTGTGAGTGAATCAACAATATTTTTGGCAGCTCATTCTGGACTTTGTTTCCACTTCTTCCAGTTGGCACCTTCCATCCAGTCTTGAAAGTACTCAACTTTTCAGCCTGATCATTCGATCACCTTTTTGGATCTTGCCCTTTAAAATGGCTAATAATATGCTGCCGTACATTGAAAAACAAACTTTCTCTGTGCTATTTTGTAATTAATGAAAAGCATTTTAAAAATGTGAAACTGTAACTTTGGAAGCCATGAATAACAGCTAAAAAATAGGATTCATATTTAAGTAATCTATAGGAAGTTTCTGTCCGAGATTCCCTCAGCCCTTATGTGGTTTGTTTGATTTTTGATTTTGACACAGAGTTATGTAAGAGCTTATCCTTGTGTTTTAGCATAATGTGGACATGGTTGGCTATGACTTAATATGGTTTTTTTTAAAAAAAAAAAAACTAGTATATTTTACATTTGAGATAATCTGAACAGTATTTGTGAAACATAAAACAGAATTGACATCTGAATATCCTCCTCCAACGTCTTTTTGACCATTTTCTTCTATAAAGCCAGATGTGCTACCTGGGATAGAGCTGTAGATATACTGGCAATAAATGAGTATAGCTTGTCTGGGCTAGCTCTACCTTTAGCTAAAGGGGAGCCACTACTCCAAGTGGCAAACTGAGACAGTGGACAATAAGGTCACCCCTGATACTCCCCATGCCTAAGATGCTCATTTTCTTGTGCTATAGAAGAAGCAACATCTCCTGTCTCAAATAGCTGGCTTTCTTGAGCTGTCTTCTAACAATAGCACTTAGACTTATATACTACTCCATAGATATTTACAGTACACTCTGAGCGGTTTACAAATGTCAGCCTATTGCTCCCAACAATCTGGACCCTGATTTTACTGACCTTGGAAGGATGGAAGGCTGAGTCAACCTTGAGCCCCGTCAGGATTGAACTCCTGGCAGTGGACAGAGTTAGCCTGCAATACTGCATTCTAATCACTGCACCACCTTCTGGTGTTGATAGATTGACAGGTTTTCTTCTTGAAATGCCATCCCTTTATATGTATAGTACTTGGATTGGGAACATATTCGGAAAAGTCCTATTGTTTAGTTCTGCTTGCAGATGCTACAAAGGGGTTGGGAGACAGAATGGGACACAGAGTGAAAGGGGAAGTGAAAAAGCCTAAAAAATAAAGTGTAGAAAAAAATAAGGAAATAATTTGTTTTAATGAGAACATGATGAGGAAAAATAAAAGCTTTGGGTATTTTAGTGGGAAAACAGAAAAGTGATTTCTCTTGCAAAAGAAGACTGAGGATAAATTTTATGGTAGGGTATTAATATTACTTTCAAGAAGGTGCAGACTCATTCTCTGTTACAAGGGAAGGCAGGTCAAAGATCAGCGAGCTGAATTTTTTTTTTTTAAAGAACATTATAAGGAATTTCCTGACAGTAAGCCATTCCCACACTGGAGGTAGAGCAGGAGTAATTTAATGGTTTCCTGTAATGACCAGTAGGTTGAACTAGATGATCGAGAAAGGCCCTTCCATTGCAGTGCTCAGTCATATGGCATTATTCTGTTCCTAGAATATCTCATTTAATTATATCATTTTATGCAACACTCAAGCACTCACCCACTGGCTTATTTGGAGGGAGCAGGTGAATGCATACATGCATTTTGTGTGCATGTCTTGATATGCATACCGAAATAGATTTAAAAAGACTATATGACAGTTTGTGTGTGTGTGTGTCTGTGTCTGTGGTGTTTTATGGTATAGAGATATAAATTAGGTACAAGCATTCTGAGACATTCCAATAGGTTGTAAACTGGATCTTAGAAACTTGACTTCAAGGGATGCTCTTTCCCAAATTTTCACTCAAAAGAGCAGCTGAAATCTAGATAAGCCACTATTTATAGTAAGAACTGACACCCCCAGCATTTGTGAAGCAGCAAATGATTAAGGTAAGGTTCTTAGGGGAAAGTTAGCAAGCTGTCTACTTCCTCAGAAAGAACCCTTCAGTTTAGTCACTGCCACTATCCCTCTTTGTGAACCCCAAGTTGGATTAAATATACTCCTAAAGAAATAAGCTTTGGTTCATTATGACTTTTAGCCAGAAATAAGTAACTGTTTGTTGCATTGTGTTGCTTATTGTTCAGTGGAGTATCCATTCTGTTTTAAACAATTTAATTAACAGATTTTGCATTGTTTTGCAGTATCATTAAATAGCAATAAAATGCTATTTTAAAATTTATGCAATCTTTTTATGGTTTTCTTTTTATATCTATGAAAAAGGGTTTTATTTAGAATGTGTGTATTGTTTTATCCATGTGAGGGTGGAATAGGAAATTTTATGTATTGTATTTTTTAAATTCAGATTGGGATTTATCTGTGAAATAAAAACCCAATGTATTCTACATTTTTTCCACACCCCACTTAAATATTTTAATTCAAAACCATACTTTCTTTTATAGTCAACACACAAGGTCAAGTTCCAGTCCATGAAGACAATGAAATGAGAAGAAATGGTACCTTGTTGAACTCAGATTTTGATCAGCTCCAAGAAAAGCTGAAATTGGCAATGCAAAAGGAAAAGCTTTTGAAGGTAGGACACTTTCTTTAAGATATATAGTGGCTCTAAAAATTTGAAAGAGAAAAAAGTAATTTATAAGAGTATATTACAAATGTTAGGAAAAGCCCATTTAATGGGAATGAACTTGAAGACATCATCACTCTCCTGCTGCCCCTTAGCGGAAATATTTCACCTTTGTTTTTGCTTGCAGCTTGTTGTTTCTTGTCAAAGCTTGTCGAAATGCAGAGAAGCTACATAGACAAGCCTGCTTGGAATCATTTGACACTCTTCGACTAGCCAAAATTAAGAGTCACCACAATATAGGTCCACTTAAAAATGGAAAACTTCGATTCTCTCCTTTATGAATGTATTGGTCACAGTAAACTAGTGACAAGGAATTTTCTGGTGCTGCTGAATTATTATTCCCAGCAGCCTTAGCCAGCATGTCAAATGATGATGGATGCTAAGAATTGTAGTTGAGCAGATAGCTGGAGACCTGCAGGTTGTTTCCAGTATTGTTTACACTTCTTTTGCTTTTTGTCTTACTAGAGCAGGAGTGTCAGACTCATGTTGTCATGGCAGTGCCATGTGATGTATCGGGACTTTTTTCACTGTCATTAAACCGGGCGTGGGCGTGGCCAGCGTGTGATGCATCCAGCCCATGGGCCAGGAGTTCGATAATCTTGTCCTAGAGATTATACATGATTATGAAGCCTAGTAGGTTCCCCAAGTCTGTTTGCATTAAGCAATAGATGGAATCTTACCTCAGTTAAATAGTATGTGGTTTACATGTAGTGCTAGCTTGGGGTTTTGGCCAGTTTCTACCATCACTAGCTGACATAAGAGAATTAGTATGTAATGAGAAAAACTAGAATCTTGGAAAGCTCAAAAAGATTAGTGCTTGGCTAAATGAATCTTCTGGTGTGGATTAAGGCAGCTTTTCTCAATTCCTAATATCGAACTCTTTTATGAAAGCTTATTTTTTAGCTTGCAGATAATGAGCTAGGGACTTGTATTTCTGTCAACTAAGCATATTTTAATCGTATGTGTTAATTTGTTAATAAAGAATACCTATTTTGTCAAATTAGTGACACTTGATAATTATGTTAGAAAAATCTAATTTCAGAATCTCTCATTCTCTCTTTTCTCCTTTCTCTTTAAGCAAGCTTTGCAATTTTTGGAATTGGAAACAAAAAGAAAAATTACATTCTTCTGGTAACAACGTAGTACCTATATTTACAGGCTGCAAATATGGATATAGCAATCATCATTGCCCCTACAAAAATATCCTCAGTATATTTGCTTACTTGTGTTCAAGTGATATTTGCATTGTGACAACATGCAGATGTCTAACTAATCTTGTGTTCACAAAGTAACCTTAATCAAGCCTTCTTTTCTTAATCAAGCCTTCGGTATTTTTCCTGTGGTAACACTAACCTACTTTAGAAAAAGGTCGCACAAATTGGAAAAATAAAAAATGGAAAACACTTTGAAACTCAAATGTTATATGAACTGCAAATATCATCATTGTTTTTTTAAAATTATGTACTATTATTTTCAGTATATATATATCAAAAGGAGAGGGGGTTCGTCATATACTTGAAAGTCAGGAGGAAAGAGGTATTTCCTGTTTTATCTAAACACAAGCGAAGACAAAAAGAATACCCCAGTAAAACAGGTAGCAACATGCTTATTTTTAAAAAAAAAATGTAGCAGGAAGACACTCCTTGAAGTCTTCAGGTTGCCTCCAGATCAGAAAAGGAATAGGTCTATTGGGAAACACAGAGAAAGAGCAGGGTGAAAGTCGGAAAAAAATAAGCATTTTCCCTGCTATACACCTAACCATAAATTGTGAAAGCAACCGCCAAGGTCTTAGTCCCACTCATCAGATGGTAATAGTGAGGATTCCTATTGAGTGTGCATGTGGTTTTGTTGGTGTGGCTATGTAATTTGAATTGGGCTCTTCATACATGTGAAATTTAAGGCTACAAGCCAATAATAGGAAAATAATGATTCCTATTTTGTCTTCTTTTTCTCCATTGTTACATTTATGCTTGATTCTCCTGTGTTCTCTTGAATAAGTGTGATGCTGTTGTTTGTTTACATAAAACATTAAATCTCCTTCAAATCACACTCTTCTCATGGTAACTCCAGGGAGGTATAGCTGTTTAAGCAACACTACAGAAGTAATTTGTCATTGAAGGTTTCAAGTTTTTATTTGGGGGAGGGGGGGGGAACATGGGTTTGTTTATTTAAATTCCCAGTAGAACCTACAGCTGGGAATTTCCTGGTGTCCCCTCAATTATTTGCTAGGGTCAATGAAGTCCTTTTTCAATCTTGTGTAGTGAGAAGCCTTCAGTCTAAAATTTAACAGTACAGAAGCAACAAAGGGGAAAGGAAAAAAATTACCCAGGGTTATTTTTACTTCCAAGGATTCACCCCACTTCCTGGACTACGTCCAAAGGAACAACAAGGAAATGGAGTTCTGGGTGGGAAGGAATAAGTTAACTAAATAAATGTTAACGTTGCTTTGTGACTTTTATAAACAAAAGTTTCTTCCAGCATTCTTTTCACTTTGAAAATTAAAGATTTACGACCTTCCAGAGGTTCATAAATGAGCTCCAGGAACAAGACTAGAGACAAAATAATATTGGGAGTTACAGACTGTCAATCTCTGCTTTAAGCATTTTTAATGTATTGTTTAGTTGTTTTGCGCTTTTAAGGATTTATTTTTAGAAATAAAAAGTGGGTTCAAATATTCTTCGTCTCATAAATAGATATAGTTATGCACCTTCTCCAGGTCCATTCTAACTTCCTTCAGTTTATCATGTGAAGTTTTAGAAAGCCCTCATCCCATTGTATTGCTTTCTATTATATTTTAAACATTTTTTTTTCTTTTTAAAAAATCATATATTCCTTAGAAAGGTCAACTTGCTTGTTGCTGTTTTTAGAAATCTGTCACTGTCTCAGTACTTTTCACATTTTTCATTTATTTCTTCTTCTGTTATTTCTCTCCTATTATTTGTTACCATCTTCCTTGGCTCCTCTCTGAGCAAAACATGGTGCTAATAGCTTTTCCCACCCATCCAGAAATAGAAAAATAGATTTCATCCTTCTAAAATCTTTCCATCAAACACGTCCACAAATTTATTTTATTATTTACATTTACGCAGACAGCTAATAGCACCAAATGTTCTCTAGGTGGCTTACAAAAAGAAAGGAATGAAATACAGAACCCAGAGAATGACTGAGTAATATTTTTGATAGTGGTTATAGTACTGGTAGTATCCACCTTATTTTCCATTTCCTTTTTAAAAATATCATTAAATTTGTTTGCCCCCTATCTCGCTGCAAGGCAACTCTGAGAGGCTTGCTATGTCGAAATAAAACCATATATATATATATATATTTATATAGTTATACAGTCACACATAAATAGAATATTTGACATTTCAACTGGGGAATTAAAAATGTATTCTACATAGGTGGGTTTTTACCACTGCAGCAATTTTTCCTCTTTTCAGTTTGAGGAAATACTTACCTTCATAATAGCGTTTTGCAACCCAATATCTATCCAGAAGTAAATCTTATGGATGAGCCACTAAGAAGATAACAAGGCTGTACTTTTCTTCTTTCCCCATTCAAAATGGGAACAAAAGCAAATGTATTTTGGTCGTTTTGCTTGTCATTTGTTAAACAGATTGACCAGATGGAACCAACTAAGGCTTTAGCTACTCATCATTTTCACCGTGTTCCTACCTACCTCTGAGACTCTGTTTTCCAGTTTTGACTCTGGACTGCCATTTCTCAAAACATGCACATGCAACATATAACATGATTACAATTGAATGCTGTCCTTCATAGTAAATTGACAAATGTCATGCATCAATCAGAGCTGGAGATTTTGATCTTCAGGAAAACACAATGTTGTTGCCACTGCTGCTGCTGCTGCTGGTATAGCTTTGTGGTTTGTTTTTTTTCTTGCTGATGTTTTCCCCTTTCCAGTATAGACTGTCATTATATGCAGAGAATTAATAGATTATATCCTAATGATGCCGGAGAAAAGTAGACTATTTAAAAGTAGACTATTAAGCTTATTTTTGAAGCGTAATATCTTGAATCTTGCAAAATCCTAAGTGCTAAATAGCTACATTTTAACTGTTCCAGAAATTAAGAGCCTTGAAGACTATTGTCACTTTCTTTAAATATATTTTATCTTGATTCTAGCACATGCTGAAACTAATTAAATATTACTGAAAAGACATATAAATGGAATAAGACAACATTTCTTGCATTTCTAAGCACTAATATGCATAGTGGTGGTATGACTCCTTTTATGTATGTGTTCAAAATAAAGCACAACTGTTTTGAATAATTGTCCACAAGAAAATCAACTGCATGTTGTAAGTAAATGAATTATAATTATTTCATCTTAACCTAATGGTACTTTACTCAAATCTGATTTCATATAGGAGCAGAAAAGGAGTCCTGATCAGATCAAAGGCCTATCTGGTCCCTTAATCACATTACTTTTGAGAAGCCCACAACTTGTTTGAAGACAATAGGATTTCCCACTCAGTTGCTAAGCAGGTGCCATTAAAAAGAGCCATACTATCTTGGACCTTGGATATTTAGCTGTCTTAGTAATCACGTATCAGTACCAACATCCTTGATGGATTTTCCTCATATTGTCAGCCATTGTTCAATGGTGAATGTCATACAAATCCCATCTTTCAGTTCCAATGGATGATTTCAATGAATGAAGAAGAAACTTATCTATACATTATCCACTTACATTGTGGCTTATTATATACTCTTATGTTGTACCTCTCTTAACTTACCGTTTCTATTTTCTTCATATAAAAATTGCCCCATTTCCTTGATAATTTAATTGCTCCTTCTCTGACTCTTTTCCAGCTCCGTCACATAATTTTTTTTTAAATACAGCTACTAAAACTGTGTGCCATATTCCAAGTGTGGTCACACCATAGATTTGTATAAAGGCATGATGATATTGTCAGTTTTATTTTTCAATCTTTTTCCTAATGATCTCTAACATGGAATTCGCCTTTTCACAGCTTTTTCACAGATTGCTAAGACTTAATTTAGCCTATAACAATCTATTCTATAATGACATTCCTCAGAGCTTGAAAATTAACCAACTGTGCTCTTTCTTTCTCTGTGTGTGTATGTGGTTTTTTTTTTAAAGGAACAATTGGAAAGTGAGAGTGTAAAATTAAAAAAAGCTGAAGAAGATAGTAATTTAAAGGAAAAGAAATTTGAATCTATTATCACTGCCAAAGAAGATGAAATAAGGAATCTAAAAAAGCAGCTGAAAGAAATAAATGAAGCACAAAATTGCATACAGGTATCAAGATACGAAAAAGAGGTAAGAAAATTCAGATAGTGATCTGAAGACGTTCAGATACTGTAGGACTAAAACTAATTTCATAAGCCAAAAACTAAATGCAGTGTACTCTTCTGTAAACAAAGTACTCAGAATACTGGTTATTATTTAAAAAATAATCAGATTAATTTCCTCTGCTTTATGGAGTAAAAAGCAGATTTAAAGTCTGTCATTCCTTTGTATACCTAATTTTATTTTAAAGAACCTACTATACTGGCTTCATTTACCCAGGAAGGCCTTTTCTAAACTCTGAAAGCTATGTAAAAGATGGATTAGCAGCATGTAGCAACCCCTGGCCAACCTTAATGGGGTTCTAAAGATAAACAAGATGAGTCCAGTTAAGGGAATGCTCTGGAAAAAAATGGGCTGTAGGGAAAACTGATTTGAAAAAACAACAGTGGAATACCATTTTTTTTACAACCGTCAAGAAAGCTTTCAGGATATGTCCATGAAGTTTCCAAAGTCGAACTCGCCTTGAAGAAGACAATATCTTAGTTAATAGGCTTTGAAATAAAACGCCCATGTAATACAGGGCTAATCCACAAGGTGGTAGTAAAATATAATAACTTCTTTCCTTACTTGAGAAAACATGTTATATTAGCCCTGGATCAGCTTTAATAAAAAGCAAAGTGGAGTTTTGCCTGATAGTTTTATGATGCATGTTAATGTACAAAGACTGATGCATAAATATGTATGGACTTAGTAATCCCTGCCCAGTTTCATTATGTGGAGAACATTCTACGTGGAAGAATATTTTGTATGAATTCTTTTTGTATGGAAATGACTGAATTATGGGAGAGCCTTTAATAAAAAAAAAAGAATGAAACGCAAGTCAGCATTCAATGTGTCCCTCTTATTTAGCTAAATTAATTATTTCTGAGGTATAAGTGCAGAACCAGGGTGAACAGCAGTTCTTGGTTAACTCAGCTATCCAAAATACTTCAGGCGTATTCTAGCATCTAAAAATAATGAGGATATAATCCATAGTAGATTTCCAGCATACATATTTCTAAACAATGATTTTGGATTTTATTTTTTTGCATAAAAAGGCAAGATACCATTAACAAATGGATATTATATTAGTACTTTATGGTTCTGTTAAATTATAGGGTGATTCTTGCAACAATGTTATAATTCAAGTATTTTCTTTTTTTTTTTTTCTACTTCTGATCACCTTCAAAAGGCAAGGAGTGAAAAACATCCTTCGTCTAGACAGGAATTATCATCAGGGGTTTCTTCTACATCTGTCTGTGAAAGGTATGGAATTGAGTTTTTTTTTTCCCTCCTATAATAATGCATTGTTTATCCTTGCTTTCTGGTTTTAAAAGATATTTCCCCCTTACTTCTTGTCTTCTCCCATCCCACTTTTAAAGAAGATGTCTAGAACTACTTTTAGGCTGGGTTGACAAATCACAACTAATACAATTTGCTTGGTTTTGGCTTTTGCTTTGTAATTTAGGACTTAGGCAATATAAGTACAGAGGCAACTGCAAATAAGCCAAGCTTATCCATTAAGTCGTGATTAATAAAATCACGGCTTAGAATGATGTGTGAATCCAGTGCTCTAAACTGAACAATTAATAACATAAAAGCTGCAGTGGACACCTGGTGCCTTAATTAACAGAAAGGAAAGGCTTGGTCCAAGCAGAAGAGCAAATAGGGTATGCCTATGAATTAAAACCTTCACTTGCTGGATTTCACATGGATCAATTTAATGATACTTGAAGCCTGGATCATTTTTCAAAAATTCTGGATCTGAATTGGGAAAAAGAATCAGGCTGGAACAGACTGTCTCCAAAGTCAGAATTATGATCTTCAAGAAGAGAAAAGAACAAAGTGATTATTTCACCTTTCATTATACTCACTATTCTGCATCTTTTAGGACATATTCCTCTCTCCAAACAGTTCTGGATCCTCACTCAACCTCTTCTGAATTCAAACTTCTCCAAGAGAACCTTCACTATCTGAATATGCTTAAACACTGCAAACGGGGAGACATTTTATCCTTGGATGGTTATCAATAAGAGTTGTTTTCTACATACCATTCAAGGATAAATGGCAGGAATATGCTCAAATTTATTTTGCTTTCATCCTGTATACCAAAATAAAGATATTATATTGGTTCATGCTGGATCTCTCTACTTTAAAAAAAAAACAACCTACGTAGCAGAGAAAAACACTGATATCTTTATGCCATAAGTTACTTCAGTTATTTTAATTTCTCACACTTTTCCCCTGTATAATCCCCTCATGCTCCAATATTAATTTTGCTGGAGGCCAGAAAGACAGATACAAAATTCCCGTAGTGTGCCTATCTTTTTGTATTCTCTAATGGGGACTGCAATAAGTAAGAATCATTTAGTTTGTGGGGAGGAGAGGGGAGGTTTAATCACATTTCTTTGTGGTATTGTTTCAGCCAGTTTGAGAATCTCTCCTTCCTATCAGCTACCTTAAGAAGTTACCGTTTTATCAAAATTTCTTGAAGGTGGGATCATGGATCCCTTCCCATAATTTCTGGCCTCAAGTCAGGGTTGCAAACATAGATGGTGCTGGTGTTTTTAATGATATGCTTGTTGGGTTAAAGGAAACAGAAAAAGCACAGGATGATACTTTACATCTGAAATCATTAATCTTTAGAGATGAACTGGAAAGTGTTTTCTGGGGCATGAAGGAAGAATTCAGTCGAATACGTGCGCTGGCAAGAGCACAGACCGACCAGCTGAATAAATGTAGCCTAAGGAGAGAACCTACAACTGGTATCATTTTATTGCATTACTTTCTTCTGAAAACTATGCTTTACTGCCTTCTAACTCTTTGCATTGACTGCGTAGAGATTCACTTTAAGATTATCCATACCTTTTTGTTGTGCATAATACAATGCATTTATTTGATATAGCAATAACCCTTGGGTTTGGGGAAAAATACCAATGCATCTTCATTTATGGCATGTGATTTGACAGCTCACTTTGCTGTGATGCACGAATTCCATTTTGCAGTGGGTTTACTGGCAAAATAAAGACTTTTGGTCACTCCAAAAATAGACTACGTAGAAAGAGAAACGCAACAGTGTCTGGATTACCTCACTCCTTCCAAACCACCCTATACTGTTAGCAAAAGCCTACTTTGACCTCATTTGGCATAAAACCACTAGATTTAGGAATCTTGGTCAATTAGATTTGCAACCACATTCTAATGAATACATTTACATCCTTGCAGCAGACATGTTCACTGACTGTGGGAACTCTTAAATTAAGGTGATTGGGCTAGAAAGTGAGGTCCTTATTTCCCCTTGATGCAATACTGAATCAGGGTTTGTTTGTTTTAATACCCACTGTAGTGAGATAATTTCAGTGCAACACAAGCCTCATGTGAGGCTGCTCAAGTTATTTAAGCAGATATGAATTTGCAAGTTATTGCATGATAGATGGAAAGGATACATATTGTACAGGCTTGATTTAATGTATGTTTAATGTATACATCTATCAATCTATCTTATCACTTGAGATATCCAGAAGTATGATTTCAGGGATTTAATCCACAAACTAAGATACCTGATTTCTTTTTTTAAAAAAAAAAATGAGTGGCACAAAAGGATTTATCTATAACTCACATGTATTTCTAGGGATTGGGCTGCTGGTAACATTTTGAGCAGACTGACAAAGTGGCAAACTGTGACTTAATTTTCTTCTAGAGATAAGCCATTTAATGTGAATGTCTAAAAGCTACTGTCAGGCAAAGCATTTCAGGTTTGAGCAAATAAATACTCTATTTCAAATTGAAAGCTATTTTGCATTCAAAACAGTATTTTTCTCTCTGATAACTCCATTTTTTAGTTCAAAACACACTGTTTCAAACTCGGAGCACTTCCAAGGGATTGAAAGAGCCTTTTTAAAATGCAAACTTGTTTCAGTTTTTGAATTTAAAACAGTTGAAATTTGAAACATTTGCACACCCCCTACTGAAAGCCCTTTCCTCACCTCAGTTGTAAAAACCATCTTTGCTAGATCAAACCAAAATCTGTCTAATCTATGACAGCCAACAGGGGCCGATCAGATGCTCCTGCAAAGTATATGTGCTTATAACCCAATTTTCGACATTCTTTGTTCTCTAATAATAGCTGCATCTGATTGCTAGGCTTGACTGATTTATAGCCAACTTCCAGAGTTTAGGCAGCTTAGGAATAGCTGATGTAAGTGCTCCACAGTATAACATGCATTGGAATAAGTTAAGTCTGGACAGAGCCAGCCATTTCCGTGAATAGCTATAGGGTACGCTAATTCAGACATGGCTTTTAAGCTGCCAGAATTGTCTGTATTTTAGTGGAGACAAATATGGGGTTAACTTAATCTCTAGTAAGTGAAGATACGCAGTTGTTTTAGCAAATTCTACAGCACTGCTGAAATGATACGACCTGGTGTGCTAAAAGGATGTCTTATAGTTTCTCATCCAGTAGTATCTCTCTGAGCTAGGATTTAAAACCATGGAAGAAGGAATAGTTAGTGCATTCTTCCTCCGAGGACTCCCCCCAAAGGATCTACGGAATGAAAGGGGGAAATCTTGAGGGAAAGGAGGAAGAAATGTTCCTTCTCTGTGGAGTGAAACAGTTGAAATCTGTGTTAGAAGAGCATTGAAAGAAACGAGACTGGTTTGAATGAAACCAAGCTGAATTGAAAGAACAGATGTAGTTATAGATAGAAAGGTAATTTAATAATATAGAAAATGAAGATATTTATATGTAAGTAATGAGCCCTTGGAAAAAAAGACCTGATAGTCTGTCTAATTGCTAGGCTATTAATCAAGAAAGCTTTGAGACATAAAAGCAATTGTGTAATATTTTAATTTAGTTCCAAGCAAGAATTCTAACATGTTTATACCTGAAAAAAGAAATTATCGGTTTGACATGGAGAAACACCGATATCAGCCTGCTGTGTCAAATGAGGCAATGAAGGGAATGATGCTGTTTCAAAAAAAAAAAGCTGAAATCTGCCATAGTGCATTGGGGGGAATTTATTTTTATGTATATATGTTCAATTTGGAGACTGCCCATCTCCCTCACAGAGCGACTCTGGGGGGTGGAATTTGCTAGGAATTTGTATAACTGAATGATATATTTTAATCTGGTCTATGGGATATCTTTTCATTTTTTCCTTTGCATCTTTTTTACCAGAAATTCCTTTCTCCAAGCCTATCCAGTGCACTGATGAACAAACAGATGACCTTTGTAATCCCTGGGTTAAAAAGGATACCAACAGAGATGTATCTCTTTTCCCATCTATTGCATCAAGAGGAATGGGACCAGACGAGGAAGAAAACTCTGTGGAATCCCTTTCTAAACTTAATGTCAAGTTCCCACCTACAGATAGTGATACTGAATTCTTTGAAAGCTCTCCAGAGACTATTCCAATTCTAAACACTCTGATGACTGAAAATGTGCTCTCAAATCAGCCATTTAACATGGACCTTAGGGACCAGGAGGTGAGTTTCAATAAGATGAATTCTATCTGGAGGAGTACGAGCAATGACTGTACTACTTCAGTGATGCAAAACAGAGCAAAGGTAAGTTTACCCAACCTTCAACTCACCCAAATGTGCTCATCCAGACTCTTTTGAACAAAGCTCCATGTTATATAAAAACATGTTTCTTTATAAGTCTGGAACAAGAGACTATAATAAATAGAATATCTCTGAATTTAATTTTCCCTCTTCAAAAGCTAATGAGAAAAGTGTTGGGGCACCTCAGCCGGTATCAATCTTTTAAAATATATACTTTTATTTTTACTTATGATTGATCTGTAAGCTGTAAGATTGTGTAGGGACTTCAGTTTCTTTCTGATATATATTTCCAAGGCAAAACTTACTGCTTGATGTCCTAATAAAAATATCTGCATTAGTCCAGCAACATAGGGTCTGTAGATACCAATAAGCTTTGAAACATCTGCATTGGTATCTGCCAAGCACTTTATCCACCTGATTTATTTTTTATATTTGAAAAAAAAAAATGAAACCAGAAATTGACATGCCTCCAAGTACCACTCTTTACCACAATTTTTATTCATGCAAGTACTACTGGGTCCACCAAGATCCCAATTGTAGTAGTAAGACATTGCCAGCCTGGAACTGATTTGCTTTCTGATAATGCATATTTTGTGCCTACACCTGGCCAATTTATTGAATAGGCAAGTCTCTCATAGCAGCCTTTTCAGGATCACATGCTCGCAATGTACTCCCAATCCCCCAAAATTTGCCTGGGCTTCTATTATACTCAATGTATAATAGCATGATATATGAGTATTCGAATGGTATTTAAAATTTTGCTATGCAACAACTAGTGTTCTCCACTGGTATTTACTTAACTTATTTATTCAATTACTACAGGTGAAACTCGAAAAATTAGAATATCATGCAAAAGTTCATTTATTTTAGTAATGCAACTTAAAAGGTGAATCTAATATATGAGATAGACTTATTAAATGCAAAGCAAGATAGTTCAAGCCGTGATTTGTTATAATTTAGATGATTATGGCTTACAGCTCATGAAAACCCCAAATACACAATCTCAGAAAATTAGAACATTGTGAAAAGGTTCAATATTCTAGGCTCAAAGTGTCCCACTGTAATCAGCTAATTAAGCCATAACACCTCCAAAGGGTTCCTGAGCCTTTAAATGGTCTCTCAGTCTGGTTCAGTAGGAATCACAATCATGGGAAAGACTGCTGACCTGACAGTTGTGCACAAAACCATCATTGACACCCTCCATAAGAAGGGAAAGACTCAAAAGGTAATTGCAAAAAAAGTTGGATGTTCCCAAAGTGCTGTATCAAAGCACATTAATAGAAAGTTATGTGGAAGGGAAAAGGGTGGAAGAAAAGGGTGCACAAGCAGCAAGGATGACCACAGCCTGGAGAGGATTGTCAGGAAAAGGCCATTCAAAAGTGTTGAGGACTTTCACAAGGAGTGGCCTGAGTGGAGTCAGTGCATCAAGAGCCACCACACACAGATGGATCCTGGACATGGGCTTCAATTGTTGTATTCCTCTTGTCAAGCCGCTCCTGAATGACAAACAATGTCAGAAGCGTCTTACCTGGGCTACAGAAAAACAGAACTGGTCTGTTGCTCAGTAGTCCAAAGTCCTCTTTTCTGATGAGAGCAACTTTTGCATCTCATTTGGAAACCAAGGACCCAGAGTCTGGAGGAAGAATGGAGAGGCACACACTGCAAGATGCTTGAAGTCCAGTGTGAAGTTTCCACAGTCTGTGTTGATTTGGGGAGCCATGTCATGTGCTGGTGTTGGTCCACTGTGCTTCATTAAGTCTAGGGTCAATGCAGCCATCTACCAGGAGATTTGGGACCACTTCATGCTTCCTTCCACAGATAAGCTTTTTGGGGATGCTGACTTCATTTTCCAGCAGGACTTGGCACCTGCCCACACTGCCAAAAGCACCAAAACCTGGTTCAATGACCAGGGATTACTGTGCTTGACTGGCCAGCAAACTTGCCTGACCTGAACCCCATAGAGAATCTATGGGGCATTGCCAAGAGAAAGATGAGAGACATGAGACCGAACAATGCAGAAGAGCTGAAGGCAGCTATTGAAGCATCCTGGTCTTCCATAACACCTCAGCAGTGTCACAGGCTTATAGCTTCCATGCCACGCCGCATTGAGGCAATAATTGCTGCAAAAAGGGCCCAAACCAAGTACTGAGTACATATGCATGCTTATACTTTTCAGAGGTCCGATATTGTTCTATGTACAATCCTTGTTTTATTGATTGCATGTAATATTCTAATTTTCTGAGATTATGGATTTGGGGTTTTCATGAGCTGTAAATCATAATCGTCACAATTATGACAAATCACAGCTTGAACTATCTTGCTTTGCGTGTAATGAGTCTATCTCATATATTAGTTTCACCTTTTAAGTTGCATTACTGAAATAAATGAACTTTTGCACGATACTCTAATTTTTCGAGTTTCATCTGTATAGCCGTCCATCGCAGTCTTGTAGTTCTTGGTGGCTTACAATTTAACATCTATTACAATTAAAAATACTAAAAATATTTTAAAACAGTAAAATCACTAAAAAAAAATTCACATGATGATAATGCATGTTTTTAAATTAAAATGGACATTAATTTTAGGCAAGTTTACCCATGATTAGTGAATGATTGCAAATAAGTGATTCCTTTATTATACGTTGTTCTTCGTTTACTTAAGGGCCTCATTTTGCATGCATTCAGATAATTCAGATTTCTTTTTCCTGATCTGTTTGAGCAACTATCTGGATATAGCCATGATGGAGTTGCCTTACAACAGGGAGCAATAGGAAAACCTCATTTATTTTGTATTAATGTTTTATTCTCCTTTACTCCTAGGACAGTCTTCCTTTATTTTATGTATTCCAGATGTGTAGCACTTCAGAGATGGCTCAGTGAAGCCCAATACATCTGGAAGTCCGATCACAGGAAGTCTGCTTTTGGAACTTAGTACGATATCCTTGGTTCCTCTCCTTCTCCCTATTTTTATCCTTCTGTAGCCCAGTATTAGAGACAGGGGTGGTATTCAGCAGGTTCTGACCAGTTCTGGAGAACTGGTAGTGGAAATTTTGAGTAGTTCAGAATATCACCTCTGACTGGCCCCGCCCCCACCTATTCTCTGTCTCCCGAGTCCCAGCTGATTGGCTGGGTCTTCTTTTGTTGCCCTGTACAGGAGAACGGAGCTGGAAAGCAAGTTAGTGGAGTTGGGGAGGGAATGGGGATTTTGCAGTACCTTTTCCTTGGAGTGGGGTGGGAATGGAGATTTTACACTATCCTTCCTCTGCCACACCCACCAAGCCGCGCCCGCAGAACCGTTAGTAAAAATTTTTTTGAATCCCATCACTGATTAAAGAGCAGTGTTGCTTATAGATAGCCTAGTTTCAATTCTTGCAATCCCTAAAGGTGGATGCTGGAAAGTAATTTATTTATAATGCATGGAAGATTTACAACTTTACTTCTGAAGTGACTCCAAGATATTTAAACCTTTCAGATAACATTACAATGAGTCTTATGATTCTCCATCCACTCACTGGCTCAGCCCTGATTGTTTTTCCCATGCTGCTCCACTTCTTTTCTGTCTCTGCACTGTCTTAGCATACTGCTGTGCCATATTGTTGCTGCCCTGTTCCATGTACTGGTAGCAGATTGGGCTTCTATTAGGCTGCAAACCTAAACACGCCCCATGATCCCCTTGAATTTAATGCAGCTGCCATCTGAGTAAATTCACACCAGATTGTACTGTGCAGGGGTTCAGACACTATTTAAATAAAATCACCATTTTCATGAACAGTAGCTTCTCATCTTTAAATTGTTAAAGATTACATACGTACACCTTTATCTATTAGAGAATTTTACAACTTAACATTCCCAAAGTGTTTGAATTTTTCATACAATAAGATGAAATTTTTACAATGCCTGTTTATTTTATGGAGAATAAAAGCTGATAAAAGCATTTATCGGCTGTGTTCTAAACAAGACATATTAATGTTATGTAAATGCATGCAATCTAGATTTCCTTCAAATTCTGGAATGTTTGTTCTAATATTGAGGGATAACTCCAATTTGTATCATTTGTGTCAGAATGGGTATCCACCCAGTCTTGCAGTAACTATTTTTTTCAATCATAAAAGCATATAATAACCTCTGCTCTTTCTAGTTTTCAAATGATGAGTATCGAAAGAAAACATCTAAAAGACAATGTCTTCTAGAACAAAATTCATGTGAAAACTATTTTGATGGGAGTACTTTGTTATACACTATATACACACACACACACACAGACAGACACACACTATATATATATATATATATATGTATGTATGCATGTATACATACACACACCCACACCAAACTGTCTGTTTCCTTCACTAGGTTTTAGCTTTTTACCTGCATTATTTGATGACTAACCAGTTTTTGCTTTTCATTGCATCAAACCCTGAACTGAGTTGGTATAAAACAAATTAAACTATTTTTTCTATTGCTATAAAGATTCCTGTGGCGTTACAAAGCTTCCATTCTATTACTTCTTACTTTCCCTTTTCTCCAATATGTCTCCTGCTTGTTCTTTTAACTAGTTAGACTGTGTATTCATTTCTCAATAGATGGCACCCTGCATTGAATAGTAAAGCATGTGAAACAGCTGGTATGGGATTCTAAGTTGATAGAGAATTATGCAGTTTAAAACAGACAGGCGAATAGAAGTTAATGTGTCATAATGTTAAAGTTATTAGGCTAAGATTTTTGTTTTTTAAAAATAAGCACATGCATTTTAAAATTCTGAATAGCCAATACTGTAGTATAATTCAGTGATAGCCAGGATGTCTTGATATCTTAAGTGTTTACATTTGGAAAGACAACTGGCGACAGAAAATAGTTCCAATATTTGTTAGTTGTATCCAGGAAGGAATGTAGAACATAAGGCCTTTGATTAAAATTATGTAT